CACCTCCTCCAGACACGGATGGAAAAGGCTCCTTCATCAGCACCCCACCTCCTCCAGACACGGATGGAAAAGGCTCCTACATCAGCACCTCACCTCCTCCAGACACGGATGGAAAAGGCTCCTTCATCAGCACCCCAACTCCCCCAGACACGGATGGAAAAGGCTCCTTCATCAGCACCCCAACCCCTCCAGACACGGATGGGAAAGGCTCCTACATCAGCAACCAGTGCCCGGTAAGCATTTCTTCCTGGCACTGACCACACACCCTGCCAGGCAGCTCTCAGGCACCTCTGACTGGTAGTGAGGACATAACTTAGCTGCCCCCTACTGCTCCGCCTGGAAGGTATGATCTGATTACTGGCACAGGGAGGTAAGGTCCCCTTAAAGGCTGCTGGTCTCTGCCCCTCTGCATTTGGACACTATCTTAACTGAAACTTCCAGGTCCCTAACCCAACACAACTGCCTGGGCCCCTGAGTCAGCAACACCCCTCATACACCCAAGGCCATGCTCACACAGGTGTAGGGGCATTGCATGCCAAGGCAAAGAAGGGTACGCACCATCCAACTCGCTCCCAGCACCTCCGCTTGCTGGCCTCGTAGGTGAGTGCAGCTTCCCACAGGTCCATGTCTGGGGTCATGCTGGGCTCAGACTGGGAATCAGGAGTCAGGTTGGATGCTGACTGGAATCCTTCGTCTTCCCACTGATCTACACTCTGTGGGACCTGGAGACACAGGGAAGAATAAGCCGCCACTCATTCCTATGTCCACATTTCATCCAAAGGCAATAAGAATTCCAGAAACTTTATCCACAAAGTTCCATTTACTTCCTAGAGGCAAAGACCCAGCAAAACATTTCTCTGTTTTTCTCAAGTACATGTGTACCATACAATGTTTTTCCCCAATGAGCCATTTAAGGAATTAAACAAAATAATTTGTTAAGACTACAAATTTCCCATTCCATGTAACACATAAGCCTCAGTGGAACTTACAATGACTTTTTGAGATGCTTTCTAAAATAATGCTTTTGAGAAACTTTCTGACCTGGAAATTCCATTTTAGGAAACCTAGCATAAAAAAAATCACACTAAACATTAAAAAACTACTGTACACTGGCTGGGCGTGGTGGCTCACACCTATAATCCCAGCACTTTGGGAGGCTAGGTGGGCATATCACAAGGTCAGGAGTTTGACACCAGTCTGGCCAACATAGTGAAACCCCATCTCTACCAAAAATACACGTCAGGCACGGCGGCTCACACCTGTAATCCTTGCACTTTGGAAGACCGAGGCAGGCGGATCACCTGAGGTCAGGAGTGTGAGATCAGCCTGGCCAACATGGTGAAACCCCATCTCTACTAAAAATACAAAAATTAGCCGGGCATGGTGGCATGCACCTGTGGTCCCAGCTACTCGGGAGGCTGAGGCAGGAGAATTGCTTGAACCTGGGAGGCAGAGGTTCCAGTGAGCCGAGATTGTGCCACTGCACTCCAGCCTGGGCAAAAGAGCGAGATTCCGTCTCAAAAAAAAAATATGTGAAATCAAAGAAAATGAAAAAAAATACAAAAATTAGCCGAGTGTGGTGGCACAAGCCTGTAGTCCCAGCTACTCAGGAGGCTGAGGCAAGAGAATCACTTGAACCTGGGAGGCGGAGGTTGCAATGAGCCGAGACTACGCCATTGCACTCCAGCCTGGGCGACAGGGCAAGACTCGTCTCAAAAACAAAAAACAAAACAAAACTACTGTACACCAAGACATTTGCTGTAGCATTATGTTTATAAATAGCCGGTATCTCATAGGAATAGAATGACTAATAACAATGTATCCTTGCAGCAATACTGATAAAGCACTAAAATACAAAACTCAGTGAGGAGTTACATAATACCATAGGAAAAAACCTCAGATTATAGACAGCAAAAGTGTATCCAATTGCATATTTTATATAACATAAACAGACGCTTTTGCCACATGTGAGAACTTGAAATGTGGTTTGTGGGGCTGAGGAACTGAATTTTTCATTTTTTTTTAATTAAATTTAAACAGCAGCTCTACAAGGCAGAAGTGGCTTAAAGGCATGCCCTGCTAGGTAAAGGTGAAAACCAGCAGACGGGCAGCGCTGTCCTTGCAGAGGAGAGTGGCCGCCAGTAAGCCCACTCCAGCAGCCCCACCTCAGGACAACGCAGCCACCGGACTATCCTCCTTTCACCATGATAAAAGGAGGGCCATAGGGCCGGGCAGGGTGGCTAAGCTTGTAATCCCAGCACTTCGGGAGGCCGAGGCGGGTGGATCATTTGAGGTCCGGAGTTTGAGACCAGCCTGGGCAACATGGTGAAACCCCGTCTCCACTAAAAATACAAAAATTAGCCAGGCATAGTGGTGGGCGCCTATAATCCCAGCTATTCAGGAGGCTGAGTCAGGAAAATCACCTGAACCCGGTTCAGGTGGAGGTTGCGGTGAGCCGAGATCGCGCCATTGCACTCCAGCCTGCGTAACAAGAGCGAAACTCCGTCTCAAAAAAAAAAAAAAAAAAGCCAGGTGCGGTGGCTCAAGCCTGTAATCCCAGCACTTTGGGAGGCCGAGGCGGGTGGATCACGAGGTCAAGAGATCAAGACCATCCTGGTCAACATGGTGAAACCCCATCTCTACTAAAAATACAAAAAATTAGCTGGGCATTGTGGCGCGTGCCTGTAATCCCAGCTACTCAGGAGGCTGAGTCAGGAGAATTGCCTGAACCCGGTTGAGGCGGAGGTTGCGGTGAGCCGAGATCGCGCCATTGCACTCCAGCCTGGGTAACGAGCGAAACTCCGTCCCAAAAAAAAAAAAAAAAAAAAAAAAAAAAAAAAAAATTTGCTGGGCACGGTGGCGGGTGCCTGTAATTCCAGCTACTCGGGAGGCTGAGGCACGAGAATTGCTGAAGCGCAAGAGGCAGAGCTTGTGGTGAGCCAAGATCCCGCCACTGCACTCCAGCCTGGGTGAAAGAGTGAGACCCTGTCGAAGAAGAGGAAGGAAGAAGAAGAAGAAAAAATAGAACAAAGGTCACAGAAAGCATTCTCCAAACCCTGAGAGGGATGACAGAGAAAAATCAAACACTCTACCTTAATGGCCAGCCCAGAGAGGTCTGCACTGTCCGGCACGGGGGGCAGGTCCAGCCGGACATCCATGTCGTAGGCTCGGCTGTGCACAAGCGCACCGAAGAGTGAGACCCGGGTGTCTCTCTCGAACTTGTCACCACAAGGGTCACCAAATGAGAAGAGCCCGACGGTGGGCAGGCCGGTGCCTGGAGTAGCCTCCATAACCTGAAGTGTATCCTGGATCATGCTGTGACACAAACACTCCTCTCTGGAGATCAGAGACTGAACGTCCCTCTCCAACACACTCAGGTCGTAGCAATCATAGCCGCCATATGGAACGTTTCTCCCCACGTGCTTGTTGTTAAGGAAGTAATCTCGTTTTCTCGGCAGCACTTGAGGGGGGCCGCTCCCTGCCAGCTGAACCAGGAGGTCCAAAACAGACCCCACCTCCACGAGCGGACAGCAAGGGGCTGCTTCAAGCTCCTCCACAAGCTCCTCCAAGCGGTCAGCCCTGGGGCCCAGGCCACCCACTCTCAAGTCAAAGGACAACATGAGGATCTTGTTTCTCGCTGGTAGTTTTGACGTGTCGGGCTGCAGCTGAGTCTCCTCTTGAAAAAGGCTTGCGAAGAGCGCGTTGTAGGCCACCTTCTTGAGGCTCCGCTTTGCCCTCTTCCGGTTCACACTGCGCTGGCCCAGGTGGGTCTTGGCAGCCGGCAGGAGGGCCTCACACAGGTCGTCGAACAGCTGCGTGATGCTGGCCATGCCCGCGCCTCCTCAGCTCCGGGCCCCTGGCACGTGGGAAAACACCGCACCCGGGCTTCACCCACGCCCCGGAAGACGGCGTGAGAGAGGTCGGGAGGGGCCGAACGACAGGCAGCCTCTCCAACCACGAGCTCAGCACGGGTCTTTTTAAAGGAGGTCTTGCGGTTTCTCGGAGTAAGCAGGCTGCCCGGCGCCCGGCAGCCCACCGGCAGCCAGCTCGGTTTCTTCTCACTCAGCAGCACTCAACCTCCAGGGAGTCACGGAACCGCGGCAAACGCGAAGAGCGGAACGTGCGCCCGGGCAGCACACAGCGGACGAACCCGGCTTCGCGCGCGTTCTTCGAGTCCCACGAGAGGACACGGCCAGGAGAGGGTGCCACTCTGAGGCTCGCAGGCAGCGAAGAGTCTGGGAGCGCGGCCGAGTGGTCCCGGGGTCTGGCCCGCACGGGGCTTTCCGCAGGTCCGCCCGTTCTCCAGGCCTCACCCGCGGGGAGCCCCCTGCTACCACCCCCGCCGCCTCCGTCGCGTCACAGCCGCGACTGTGGAGAGCGCCAGCGCGGACGCGCCGGAAATACGTCACGGGGACGCCGGCGGCCCGTCAGGGGGCGAGGCCTGCGCAGCGGCGCACTTCCGGCCTGAGTCCGGCACCCCGGGTGGAAGACTGAGGCCGAGCGTCTTCAATGACGGAGGCAGAGCCAGAGTTTCGTTTGGCCGATGTTTACTGACTGCATCAGGGCTGCGGGCGAAGCGCAGCGAGGCGCAGGGGCCGGGATGGGAGCGAGGGTGGGGCGCACGGGCCGGGAGGGGCGAGGCGGGGGAGCAGAGGTGGGAGGGGTGGGAGTGGGCGGGGCTCCGTGCCCCGGTGCGGCGGGAGCTGTGGGCCGGGGTCCGAGTCACCGGGTCTGAGGACGGCACTGCAACAGGAGCCGGGCAGAGGCGCGCAGCTGGCCTCCCGCGCTAGAGCTGGTTCAGGGCACTCCCCTGCCCTCCCCTGCCCTCCCCTCCCCTGCCCTCCCCTCCCCTCCCCTGCCCTCCCCTGCCCTCCCCTCCCCTCCCCTCTCCTCCCCACCCCACCCCACCCCACCCCATCGAGCTCTGCGGCAGAACCGGGCCCCAGGGCACTGGTCACCTGCAGCATCTTCCACTGACGCTCCAGCTGCCCTCTCAGGTACCTCAGAGCCTGGGCGTCCTCTGGGGAGGCCACAGAGTAAGGGCCTAGGCTAGGAGGTGCCTCTCCATGCAGCACCCGGGCCAGGATCCCGGCTAGCTGGGGTGTGGAGTCCTGGGCCAGGAGCGAAGACAGAGGCAGTCACTGGTCCTTCCCCTCCTCCCACCCCACAGCACCTCCACCCTGCCCAGCTTACCTCCTCCAGGAGGGCCAGGACTCGGCCGCCTGCCGGCCCCCGAAGCATTGAAGTCAGAAGTGCAGCGTGGGGGCCCTGCAGGCCATGGGCAGGCCCCAGGGCCACCAACACCAGGTCAGGCTGGAAGCCATAGGCCAGGGGCAGCACCAAGCCCAAGATGCAGCTCAGGAACCCACCAGTCACCTGTGGGGACAGCAGAGCCCAGCTCCTCATCTACGGATACCCCTCCTGCTGGCTCTGGCCCCCCCACCTCCCAATCTCAGGGCCCCTGGAGTAGGAGCAGGGAGACAGGAAGGGCCAGAGGCCTGCTGTCATGACAGTGCCAGCAGGCAGCAGCTGCACACATCCAGTCTCCCCACCACCTGTCTTGCCACATGGCGTGATCACTCACCACTGGCAGTGGTGTGGAGACCTGGAACATGGATAGGGCAGCCGCCTCCTTGCCCCTGATGTTCAGCCACAAAATCCTCCTTCCAGGACACATGCATAAGCGTAAGGCCCTGCTCACCCCTCTAAGCCCAGGCAGCAAAGGCAGAGGTGGAAGAGTATTCACGGGCCACAGGCCACAGGCAGGGATGCTATGACTGCCGAGCCTCTGCTGGAGACCCACCTGGCATTGCCTCCAGCAGCCCTCCAGAACCCAGATGAGGAAGGCTCCATTCAGGACCACACAGTGCCCCACCCACCCGTCACCCTGGGGCACAGGCACATGCCCATCCACATGCATGGCTGGACAGATACAAGACCTGAGAGTCCTACCCGTCATGGGCGAGATCTGGGGGCCGGTCCAGCTGTCCCAGGGCCACACACAGCAGCCTGGAGGAAGAGCTGGCCTGAGGACAGGTTGTGTTCACATTGTCTGGAGCCCATTCCCAGAGCCCTCTGCTTGGCCAGCCAGGATGGGGTGCCCACGGGTCCTGCCCTCAGAGGCTCGGGATGGCCAAGTGAGGCTTACCTCTGAGCTCCATGGGACAGGCCTCTCTGAATAGCCACATCCAAGGTGGCTGCTGCGGCCAAGGGTGGAGTGGCTACGATACCACTGCTCACCTGTGGAATGAAGAAACAGTGCCCCAGGGTGAGGTACCAGCCGACTCCCAAGCCAGTTAGAGAGACCCACAGTTCCCTTCATTCGGTCTCTACGTGGCTGTTGTCAGCCTTTCTCTACACTCAGGTCAAATCACTCCATTTCTGTAAGACATTAAGTCTATATATATGTAATATATGTGTATATCACTCCATTTCTGTAAATAAAATGCTTAAGTCTACATATATATGTGTGTGTGTTTATCATTCCATTTCTGCAAATAAGATGCTTAAGTCTGCGTGTGTGTGTGTGTGTGTATATCTATACATATATATACACATTTTTTTTTTGAGACAGGGTCTTGTTTTGTAGCCACGCTGGCATGGCCTGCAGTGGCTCAATTGTAGCTCACTACAGTCTCAAACTCCTGGGCTTAAGCAATCCTCCCGCCTCAGCCTCCTGCCTCCTAAGTACAAGTACATGACAGCACGCTTGGCTGATTTTTTTTATTTTTTGTGGAGACAGGGTCTCCGTATGTTGTCTAGGCTGGTCTTGAACTCCTGGGCTCAAGCGATCCTCCCGTCTCGGCCCCTCAAACTGCTGTCATTACAGGCACAAACCACTCCACCGTGCCTAAATCTATACTTTAAATCATCCCCTTCACCTCTCTGCCACAGAGCATTTAACTGAAGAAGTTGTGGTCAGACATGCTAGTGACCCCCACCCCTGGGGCTGTGCAGAGCAACCCCCGGCACAAGACGACATTCACATCCATGTGGCTCTGCACCACCCACCCCTCCTCTGGACAGGCCACATTTCCTTGACAGGTCCTGCTGCCTGCCCCTGGGTCCACAGCACCCCCAACCCCTCCCAGGTGCCCCCACCTGCCCATCCAGCATCCCATCTAAGAGGTACAGGAGCTTTCCAAGTGCAGTGAGGGTTTCATCCTGGGCCAGGGACTCGAGTGGCCTGTAGTAAACCAGAGGGACACACAGACATGAGGCGACTGCACGTCAGTCACACACAGGCACAGGTGTTCACATGGCCCCCTCCTCTCCAGGCCAGCCCTGCCCACCTGGCCCAGGCTTCTGTCTCCTCATTCAGGGCTGACCCCTCCTGTTGGGTGACATCAGGGGGCAGGACCAATGTGATATCTGGCGCTGTAAGGGCAACAGCTGGGCAGAGAGGAGGTGCAGGGTGGAGGCATGGCTGGTCCAAGAGGGAGCTCAGTGCAGATGCAGCCGTCTTACACATGAGACCCCCAGGCAGCAGAGGTGGAGGCCTCCCCTCTGGGGAATGGGTGCTGGGACTCGTCGGCACAGGGGTCACATCTAGGGACAGTTCAGAGTCAAAGCCACTGCACGGGAGCCTGAGGTGGGACCCTGCAGCCCAGCACCCGGCCACACTGACCTTGCAGCTGGAGGCTCTTCCAGTGCGGAGCCTGGGCGGCACAGGCACTCTGGATGGACTCCAGGGCACTGTGGGGCAAACAAAACAGTGGTGATGCCTGGCCTCACGCCCTAGCCCTGCCCACCCTCCCTCCCCTCATACCTCTGACACGGTACCATGGGCCCTGACAGGGGTGGAGCCGGGTCGCCCAGCAGCGTACGCACTGTCATGCACACCGACTCCGCCAGTGACTCCAGGTGGTAGCCGCCCTGGGAGAAGGACGGAGACATGTTTGGGGCAGGGATGTCACTGGGATGGGGTATCACTGGAAGGGCCCCTGCCTGGCTCTCTATCCTGGGCAGGACAACCCTCCCAAGTACCCCGCGGGCACCTGGCTCCCATGCTCCTGGCCCAGGAACCCTCCTTGTGTGCTCTCCCGTCACTCACCTCCAGCACGGCACAGACCCGGCCACCAGCCAGCACCTGCAGCAGCTGTGTGAGGTGGGCGAAGCACTCTGGTGTGGCCTGCATTTGCCCCTGGAACCAGAGCCATGTGTGATGGGGGGCCTGGACCCCAGGACCCTAGAAGCCCTCCCTGGCCAGGCCAGGTCCTCACCTCAGGGTCCCCGATGGCTGAGTCAAATCCTGCCGAGACCAGCACCAGCTCAGGATCAAACTACAGGCCAGACAGGTGGGGAGGGTCAAGAGAGAGGCTGAGCCCGGGTGAGGGTGAGCCAGGCCCATCCTGGCCCCTCCTGAGCACCCTCCCGGCCACACAGGAGTGGAGCAGCTCATAACCCTCCCCTCCTGCCTTCCCTGTGGCGCTCCAGGCACCAAGTTCCCCTCCCTCCCACCCAACTGCCCTGGAGGGGCCCATCGTGCAGTCACCTCAAAGGCCAGTGGGAGCAGCAGGTGCAGGAAGGCGGCCACGTAGTCAGCGTTTCCCATCCCGACCTGGCAGGACATCCCAGGCTACATCCTGAACTGTGGGGCAGGGGAGGGGTTTGGGGGGAGGGGGCCGGGGGGGCCTGGGGCTTGAGGGTGGGCACCTGGTTCCAGGGGAGGTTGACAGTGAAGCCGAGGCCCTGTCCCCGCCCCACCGCATCCGCATCCGACTCTCGCAGGAAAGGCCAGAAGCGCCCGTGCTCATAGCGGTGCCAGGAGAAGTAAAGGACGCTGCCAACAGCCGGCCACGGTCAGAGGTCAGAGGTCAGAGGTCAGGGCCCTCCACAGCTCTGCAGTCCCCACAGAACCCTGACCTCTAAGCACATGTCTGTATCTCACCCCTGGATTTTCCCAGGCCAGGCTGCGCACCCCACAAATGGGGATGCACACTCCACACCCCTGCTCACCTGGGGTCATCCTCAAAGAGATACTGGATGCCTTGGCCATGGTGCACATCCCAGTCAACGATGAGGATTCTGGACACAGACAGCGCTGGTGGCCGAGGGGCAGGGCCTCCCACCTCCAGGAGCCCCACCAGGGATGGGAAGGTGTGGGGTGAGCTGTCTCGCTACCTGCACCGCCCCTTGCTGTGTGGTCTGGCCCACAACCCTGCAGCCAGCCTGGCCCACACCCCTGCAGCCAGCCTGGCACACACCCCTGCAGCCAGCCTGGCACACACCTGTGCAGCCCGTGTTTCTGCTTGGCATGTGCAGCGGCTATGGCCACATTGTTGAACACGCAGAACCCGTTGGCAGCTGCCCTCTGGCTGTGGTGCCCAGGTGGCCTATTGCATGAGATTTGAGGCATGTCAGGGTCGCCCTGTCCCCTCACAAGGCCACCCGTGGAGGAGCAGCCGGGGTTAGAGGCAGCTCTCACCTCACCAGGGCAAGCCCGTTTTGCACCACTCCCGTGAGCACAGCATCCACCAGCTGCAGTGCAGCCCCCACGGCCAGCCTCGCACAGTGAAAGGTACTCTGTGGGGGCAGGGGCACGGATGAGCCCCCTGCCTTCCCTGCTGCCCTTTGCAAGCCATGCCCACACTTGTGCCAGGCTGCAAGGCCTCAGCTGCTGAGCAGAACAGGCCAGTCCCAGGTGCTGGCAGTGCCAGCAGGCAGGTGTGCAGGGCATGGTCACGTGCACAGAGCAGGGTACACTGGCTGGGGTTGGCAGCCATGGTTGTGAACACACAGAGGCAGGTGCCTGTGTGTCTGGACGGCTGAGTGTCCAAGGACACGCACCGGGTGGAAGTAGATGGCATCAAACTGTCCAGACAGCGCCTGCAGCTCCTCCTTGCCCAGGACCTGGGTCTCCCTGACCAGGGACACGTACTCGGGGCTGTAGACAGGCAGGCAGGAGAGGCAGGGTCACCAGCAGGAGCAGGTGGCAGTGCGGGAGAGGAAGCCTGTGTGTGCTGGGATTGGTGGTGAGAGTGGCCACCCTGTTGCTTCCTCAAGCCCACCCGAGGTCCATGTGAAAAGGCTCTGTCCTCGAGGCTGGCAGGCTCGGGGCTGGCCCAGGTTCCTCTGTTTCTAGGTGAGCATTCCCCCGATCATGGGGCACGCCCCCGTCCAGACCTGTGCACCAGGCCCAGTTCCTCTTCGGAGGCCGCGCGGGCTGACAACCGCAGACACCTCTGTTCCAGGCCGCACTTCCGCAGGCGGTCCAGGGCTGCAGTCAGGCGCTCAGGACGCTCAATCTCGCACTCGGGGCTGGGGCAGATGGGGAGCTCAGTCCAGAGCTCCCTCCCCGCACCCCACCTCGGCCAGGTCCCACTTACTCGTCCCAGAGCAGCCGGGTGGCCGTCATGTCCTCGTGGTACACAAGCGCGGTCCCCATGGCTGCGCCGTGGTCACCCTGGGTCCCCAAAGGGCCTCGCTAGCGGTGCCTGGCACTGCCCGTCCCCACCGTCGGCCAGGATTAGCCAGAGGCCTGGGACCTGCTTGGGGCCCAGGCGGGCGGCAGGCGGCGGGCACCGGGCGGGGGGCACCGGCCTGGCGGGAGCGCACAGAACCCAGGAAGGCTCCGCGGTCCCAGGCGCGCAGGAGGCGCCGAGCAGGGCGGCGGTGGAAGCGGGAGGCTCCCCGCGCCCGGCTTCCGGCTTCCTCGCCTGGGACTCGGCTCCGCCCGGCGCGGTGCTCCGCGAGCTGCCGCGAGCCCCGCCCCGGAGTGAGGAACCAGCAGGCGCGGACACCTTGGCGCGCCGGGCCGCCCGCCCTCCGAGCTGCGCTGCGGCTCCGCCTCCCCCTCGGCTCCGCCCCGATCCCCCTAGAGGGGCGGGGTCCCCACCCGAGCCCACCCCTGCGAGCTCCCTTCTGACCCCGCTCCCGGGTCAGGGTCCAGCGCAGCCCCAAGGCCCACCCGGGCCAGGCGCGGGGAGAGTCGGGGTGAAGGGAAAGTGAGACGCGGGGTCCGCAGGACAAAAGCCACGGGGCGGGAGGAGCCGCTGGGGACGCAGGTGGCACTGCGGCCGGCTCAGGGCGGTGCATTGGGGCGCAGCGCCGCCCCCGAGGCTTAAGGAGGGAGTGAGAGCCCGGCCCAAGTTCAGAGTCAAGGTCAGGGTGGAGGCAGGGACGCTGGACTGGAGTTGTGGGGGGCGGAGGGAACGAGGACAGAGAGGGATCGAGGAAGGCTGGAGGCCTGGGACGGAGCAAGGTGTCTGCAGAGGAGACCTGAGCCCACCTGGAGCCCAGGGACCCCCCTGCCCCAACCAGAGTTCGTGTCCAGCTGGGTTACAGTCTTGGGCCCCCAGTCCCATTCCTCAGGCCAGCTGTGGCAGGAAGTTGGGCCCAGCATAGGCAGCGGCCATGTCACAAATCAGCGTGGCTCCAGAGCCAATGGTCACGTGCCCCCTGCCCCCATGCCTGGAAAGGCATGAGGGTCGCTGGATAAAGGCCTGAGTCCGTCGTGGCAGCTCAGTGGGCCCAATGTAGCTGGGCCAGCTGTGGGCATGTCCACCAAGGACGCCCAGCCTGCCCTGCCCCTCACTGGTCTCTCTCTGCTGTGACCCCTACCCTGGCACAAGTGTGGAGGCACCCGTGGCCCATGGTCCAGCCGCCAGCCACCCTTGGAAACACTGAATGGCCCACAGAGGGCAGCCTAGGCATAAAGATACCACAGGGGCATTGTAGTGGGTGGGGGCTAAAGGTTTGATCAAAAACAAAACCCAGCCCTCTGTGCTTACCACTCCACCACAGGGACCAGAGGGGTCTCAACGTGTCCAGTGTGTCCCCTCCCTCCCCAGGAACCTGCTGGCTTGGAGGGTGCAGAGAACTAGGATGGATCCTACACTCCTCCCCATCAGGCCCTGCCCTGGGTCTGGCTTCGGATCCACACACAGTGGCTTAGACTCTAAGCCTTTAGAGGAAGGTCACCACCCCATAAGAGAGGAAGAGGCCAAGTCCTAATGTGGACTCACTTCTAAGGCTCACTGGCACAGGCCTAGGGAAGTGGGCACCAGCTTTGTGGCCTGGGGTAGATGGGACGCTCAGGCCCCCCTACTAGCTCTTAGGGTCTGAGCTCTCAGGCCAGTCTCCTCCATATGCAGGCCAAGGGCTTGGAGGCCTCAAGGTGGGACCCAGCATGAGGACACAGAGCCAGAGCAGGGAGCTACAAAAGGGTCTATTTCCTTCCAGCCATGTGGGTGCCACACAGCTAAATGACATTCCAGGCTGGGGGTGCAGAAAGGTCCACTGATGCCCCCCAGGAGAGGGGATGTCCCTGAGTTGGTGCCCTGTGCCCACCCTCTGTCCTTCCTCTGCATGGCCCAGAGCAGGGCCTGACCTGAAGCCCCACCAGCTCCAAGGTTTCTGAGGGCAACTGGCAAGGGGGCCACTGCTCCAGGGTTCAGAGGCCATCCCAGGTCAGGCAGAGGTCCTGTCCAGAAAGTTCAGGCACTTCTCCAGGATGGGCGCCCAACAGCAAAGGCACGGGCTTGGGGAGGAAGATCCATGGAACCTGGGGTCCACTCGGACGGATACCTTGGGATGCAAGCCCCAGCCAAGGTCAAGGTGGCAAGGGTCCCCTCTCAGGTGGAAGGTGAAGGTGGTCCTCACTGCCACCACCAGAGCCCAGAGGTCTTCACAGAGCCGTCTCCTTGGAGACCCTGGCCCCCAGCTGCCGGGGAGGCTTGAAGCTGAGCACTTCTTTGTAAGTGACACCTGGCAGGGGAGCGGGGTGTAACAGAAAGGGGGGTCAGCCTTTGCCTTTCATCCCAGGAGTCACTCACAGACACGCCCGGTGGTGCCTTGTGGGGCCTTTCTCTAGTCCTAACAGGTATGGGCCACTGAGGGAAGGTTTGTGTAAAGACGCCATTGCCCTAGATCTGGATGTCCAGGGATAAGGCGAGGTGGCCAGGGCTTGGCCACGTGTCCACCACAGTCTGTCCTAAGAGCGGAAGCCCGAGCCACGGCTGTGTGGGTGGGAACTACAGAGAGGGCCCTACGGCCCATGGTTTCAAGTCATCTTGTTTAGCAGCAGAAACCTTTCACCAAACAAACCCAATCTCATAAGCAATCTTTTTTTTTTTTTTTTTTTTTTTTTGAGACAGAGCCTCACACCTCACACTGTCACCCAAGCTGGAGTGCAATGGCGCGATCTCCACCCACTGCAACCTCCGCCTCCTGGGTTCAAGTAATTCTCCTGCCTCAGCCTCCCGAGTAGCTGGGACTACAGGTGCCTGCCACCATGTCCAGCTAATTTTTTGTATTTTTAGTAGAGACAGGGTTTCACTATGTTGGCCAGGCTGGTCTTGAACTCCAGACCTCGTGATCCACCCGCCTCAGACTCTCAAAGTGCTGGGATTACAGGCATGAGCCACTGCTCCCAGCCCAAACTCATAAGCACATGACTAAGCACACACAGCTAAGGGTAGAGGCCCTACTGCAGGCATTCAGGGACCCATGACCCTAAGGAGCACAGGTAAAGAATCTCAGCCCATCTAGCCCAAGGCAGAGCCAGGACAGGGCCTGGAACACAGCACAGCTCCCAGTGCCCACCTGCTGTCCCTAGGCACACAGCCACAGGCTGGTCATGCAGCTATGAAGAAGACAGCACAGCCTGCCATCTTGGGGCAGAAATAAAGCCAGGTCCAACACAGCCCCAGGCTACATCATAGCTGTGGGAGCTGGGGAGGCTTCCCTGAGTCCAGCCTGAGGCTGCATGGGCCTTTGCTAGTCCTCCAAGATGAGGGGATGGCCCCTGCTATCGGGAACAATAGTGCCGAGCTATCGGGGTTGGGGTCTGGACTGCTCAGGGGGGCTGGGAAGGGACAGGCGAGGCCCTGAGGACTATCTTGTGTATACAGCTGTCCAGGTGGGAGGGATCCCAAAATGGGGCAAGGAGAGGCAACGACAAATTCCAGAGCTGTGAGCAGAGAGGCCATAGGGACGAGTGGACATGGCGGGGGTGTCAGGGTGGCCTGGGTCTCTGGCCTGGACATGGGGGAAGGGCAGGAGGTCTGGGGGCCAGGTAGGGCTAAGTGGGCCCTGGTGCCCTGACTCACAGCTGCCCCTCACCATTCCCAGGCTCCTTCTGTGCCAGCCTCTGTGCCGAGTCCGCCAGGAACACCCTCCCTTCATCTTTCAGCTCCAACCCGAGGTCACTTCCACCAGGCCACACGGCCCCACACTGCTCTCTGACCTCCTGTCCTCCTCGCCTGATCTGCACCCCAGGGACAGGGATCCAGAACTCTGAGCCTGGCCACCTGCAGAGAGCCCACCAAGTCCACACAGGCCCTGCCCAGAGCCCCCCACTCACGCTTCCATTCATCCAGTGTGCGGTCCACATCGTCAAAGGAGTCATCATACTTCTGGGCCTGGGGCTCATCTTCCGTGTCATGGAGGGACTCAAAGTAGGGGTGAGCCAGCGCCTCAGCTGCCGTCACCCGCTGCTCCGCGTCCAGCACCAGCATCTTCTCCAGGAGGTTCACAGCTGTGGGGGAAGGTATGTCAGGCCAGACCTCGGGAGGCCCCACACTACAGCACCCTGTGGCCCCCACCCTAGCCAGCCCTACCCAGAGGGCTTGCATTGGTCAGGATGGAGGCAAAATCCTTCTTCTCCAACTCAGGGAGGCCCTTCATGTAGTTCTTGGCCTGTGTGGGAACAAAGGGTGAGGGGCCAGCACCGAGGCCTGAGTCTGCCCCCAGTTCCACCAAGCTCTCCACTGACCACTGACCACTGACCTCATCACTCTGCAGCCGCTGCACAAACTCAGCTGGAGGCGTCCCTGTCACCTTCATGATCTCCTTCAGCTGGTCCAGGTCTGTACTGAGGTCAGGAGCACAGCTCGGATGCCAGAGATTGGGGCCTTCACCATCCCCACCTGGGCAGGAGCCATTCCCACCCGCCCATACCCTCCACCTGGGCAGGAGACATCCCCACCACCCCCCATAACCTCCACCTGGGCAGGAGCCATCCCCCCCCACACCCTCCCCCTGGGCAGAGCCATCTCCCTCCCCCCCCATACCCTCCACCTGGGCAGGAGCCATCCCCACCCCCCCATACCCTCCACCTGGGCAGGAGCCATCCCCACCCAATACCCTCCACCTGGGCAGGAGCCAGCCCCACCACCCCTCATACCC